ATATATATATATATATATATATATATATATATATATATATATATATATATATATATATATATATATATATATTATATAACGATTACTTGTATGTATAGCCTAATGTTATATATTATATAATGATTATATATTAAATGTATGTAGGCTAATCTTAAAAAAGATTTTTGTCCAATCAGATGCTGTCTATAATGAGCAATACCACCTGCAAACCAATCACCAAGTACAAAGTCACGGTTCATAGCTCAAATTAATAAATACATTTTAAAAAGTAAGTTACTTGATTTGTTTTTAATCTGTAGAAAAATGACCATATTAGGCTAAAATAGCATCAGCTATTCATTGTTAGGGACATAGCCACAGTTTATTTTTTTTTAAACATACTATTATTAATAAATATATATTTTACATCAAGTTATTTTGTGCAACAAACAAAAAAGAGAGTGAAGAAAAAATTATGGCTACATAACCCTTACAAAATTTACCCTGGTAGTTTTCTGCCAAAAACGAGTCAGGTAAATTTTGGTGAGGTCAATTTGGATTACAGTAGTAACCAGACAAAAGTTAAAACTAATGGATTCATATTGCTTTATGGCAAAGATTATTTCATTTATTTGATCAATATATTTACTATGTGCCATACAAAAAAAATAAAATGACGTTATGTTTGCAGCACAAAACAGTTCAGTGGTATAATGTCTTATTATTATAATCCAATTCTAATTATAATCCATTTCAAACGTATCAAATAATTTTCAAATTTGTATTTCTAAAATATATAAATAATAAAACCATGTGAAGCAATAGAATGCCACAAGAGGTCACTTTATTTTGGCACTTGTCACACATGAAAATATTCAAAGCTTTTTTTACAGAAAATCAAAGACTTGGTAATGACTGAGAACATCAACATACAAACAGATGCTTGCATGACATGCAACAGACATCAACCCTCTCCAGTGTGTCGGGGAGATGAGCTCCTTATCACGGCCCTTGATGAAGAGTCCCAAAGCTCTGCTGCAGTGATTGGCCACTTTAAACAGTGTCTGAGAGGCCAGTGTAGTTTGCTTTTAGAATGGCTTTTGAAGATCTAAGCAGGCACCATCCAAAACACAGAAAGAAGTTAGTCTTTAGAGAGGAGGAGCACTCAGTACAGTCCAGTTTGCATTTAATACATCTCCAGAATGTACCTATAAGACATACTAAGCAAAAAAATAAAGTAGTGCTTTGAGATCTAAACCAAACAGTTCTTTTTTCTTGAGAATCCACTATGAATGTGTAGGCCTAATGGTTTTATAGCAATATAATGCTGTAGAAGTATGCAGGCCCATCGGAAGGCATGGTTCCACTTACATTAAGAACACATGAATAATATATGCCTGTTAACTAATTTAGCAGGCAATACCAGATTATTAGAAGAATTTGTAAGACAATATGCATTAATTATGAAGCAGGCTGAATATCCTTTTTTAATGTTAAGGACTGGCTTTTATTTCAAATCTTGCAGTAAACCGAGTCAGTGTTTTAGGGAGTGATTCTTATTTGTGGCATCAATAGAGCAACATTTTAGCCAATGAGATATACCTAAGTAATGTATAGAGTTTTTAAATGCCATAATACTTTCGCCCCAGCCATTTATATTTAAGTCCAAATGTGTAATCACTTTAATCAAACTGGATTTATAAATTTGAATGTATTTGAAGCACTTGGCTTTTACATTCTCTGCCATGCATCATAATCATCTGTGATGTCACTTCCTTTTTATATTTGCCTATAGCCTTTCTTAATGACCAGTTTTAAAGAGCCCTTGTTACTTACATTTTTCTCTGCAGGTGAAATACAAAATGTACCATTATTTGCATGAATATCACTGAAATTCTGTTCTGAAATTCTGATGAAGAAACAGTCAGAAGGGGTTTAAAATATGAAAGGGACTGAAGAATCAATTCTAGATAGTGCACAGAACAGAACTGAGTAAAGAAAAACACAATATCGCCACCCACTGGATGAAAACACGCAGTTCACAGAACAAAGTAGAGGAACAGTAAGAGATGCTACAAAATAAAATCTCATTAAGCTGACTGTCAAACAAAATATATTCACTGTCCCAAACTTGTTCTTTCTATGCATTAGAAATGAGAAACTCCTCGATTTTACCCTTTGCACGGACAAAACCTATTATCAATTGTTATACTGCATTTACATAAAGACACACATTGTATTGTAAATCACCATGACAAATAAAAGAAAAGTCACATTAGGTTATTCACTATTATGAATTTAAAATGCCATTTATGCCCTAAAACGTCTACTAAGACTGAGACAAAACAAAACAACATATTGAGTCATTTATCTTTAAGAGCTGTGTGCATCAGTACTGATACAGTAAACCAATGCGTTAAATATCATGATTTACTGTACATGATTCAAAATCAAAACTTCTAACTGCATTAGATGTATGACACACATAGAAGACACATGGCTTTAAAGCTCACTTCGACTGTCGCTATCTAAAAAACCTACGTGATTCATTTTACTTGTCTAATCCACAACACTGAAAATATTTCCTTGAAGAATGGAGGTGCAGTTCAAGCCTTCTGTTAAATAAGGATAGTAGAGGAATCCATTCCGTTTTCTTCCGCCCCACAGAATAAGAAATAAACCTGCTTTTGCAGAGCTTATGCTACCATTCTCTACCATGCAGAAGGCCTGGGCAGCTGCATCGAATGGCTTTTAAATACAATACATACATTGACATGCACTGCAGCCTCTGGACGGCACGACAAACATTTTAAATGCACAGTAGAATCACACTCTTTTAAAGAGCCAGTTCACCCGAAAATGAAAATCCTATCATCGTTTATTCATCCTCGTGCGAGTTTCGAACTAAATGATGACAGAAATTTAATTTTGAGGTAAACTGTCCATTTACCATCACACTGGTCATTGTACAGTGTCCTGCATGAATGAAACCTTCACAGACTCAGTCTGCGAGTATGGAAAGATCCTAATCTCTAAATGCTAAAGACATAAAATTGAATTGTACAGATAGAATACAGAGGAATTAAGATCCAGGGTGTTGAAAGCTTATAGCAGGTGTCAAACACTCTCAGGATCTTGTTTTTCCTGTCATAGAGTCCTGAAAGCGTGATGGGGAGGGTGGTTTTCAGAGAAAGTGGTTGGTGCTTCAGTGCTGGAGAGGGGCGGTGCTGTGCGTCACCTGTTCGATCCAGGGCAGGTAACGGCTGACCCGTGAATACACACCTGGGTACGAGGGGTCACCGCAGCCGTGACCCCAGGAAATGACTCCTGTCAGTACCCAGCGCCCAGCCTCGCCCTGACACACTAGCGGACCCCCGCTGTCGCCCTGGCAGCTGTCAGCATGCTTTCTGAGGTCAGACGTCATACTGCCAGCACACAGCATGTCGTGGCTAGTGAAACGCTCGCCGTAACGCTTCTTACATTGCCACGAGGGCAGAAGAGGAACCCAGGCCTGAAGAAGAGTGCTGGGATGCTCAGTGTCTGAAAAATAAGGGGAAAACAAAAGGTGAAACACCCTTTGCAATCCATTTAAAGGGACAGCTGCTCAAAAATGTTTTTTATTCTGTCCCAATGTTGTTCCAAACCTATATGACTTTCTTCTATGGAACACAAAAGAAGATATTTAGAAGAAGAAAAAAACTGTCTATACAATGAAAGTTAATTTTCCTTTTTTGGGAAAGCTATCTCTTTAACTTTTATAATAACTGATAAAAAGATAAAAAATTCAACCATTTTTTTCTTTAGAATAACATGAAATGAAGAAGAATGTTGAAAAGGATTCATTTTTTCCCAGGTTTCTTTGATGAATAGAAATTCAAATGTACAGCTTAAATTTGAAATAAAAATATTTTGTAGCATTTTATCAATTTAATGTGTCCTTGCTGGAAAAAAGTATTAACGTCTTTTAAAAAAATCTTACTTGGCCTAAACCGTCGAACAGTAATTTATCAGTTTCCACAAAAAATATTATGCAGCAAAAACTATTTTTAAAAAGGACAACAATAAGAAATATTTCTTGAGCTCCAAACCTGCATATTAGAATGATTTCTGAAGGATCATGTGACACTGAAGACTGAAGTAATGGCAGCTGAAAATTCAGCTTTGCCATCACAAAATTAACACAGTTCTTTTAAATTGTAATAATATTTCAAAATATCTCAGTTTTTACTGTATTTTTTATTTAATCAAATAAATGCAGCCTTGGAGAACATAAGAGACTTCTTCTAAAAAACATTAAAAAAAACTTAAAGATTCTGAATGGTATTTTATATAAATTAATATATGTGTATATATAAAAAAAAAATAATGTAAAAATTTTTTTTATGTATTTCGTGTCATGCCAAAATTGTGCCCGTGTAAGAAGAATCCAGCATTACCTGTCATTCCCCAGCCAGTGATGACACATGACGCAGGTCTCTTGCCCCACTTACTGCCAGGTGCAGGCAG